ACTCAATCTTACTTGTGTTTACTTACAGTTTCACATGGGTTTCAGTACATCTGTGGTGAAAAATTGTGAAACTGTTCACTACAGATTAGTAAGAGCAAGTAAACCCGCACTTACTTGCTTATTGGGTAGTCTGACACTGCTGCTTAGGGCACATGACATCACAAGTGAGCTTGAGAGAAGCTGGGTTAAGAGTTTGATCACTCACAGGTGGGGAAAGGTGCCTGGTGGTACAAAAGTGGTACAAATGCTTTGTGATCAACTACTAACCTGGAGGTTGGCAATTCAAACATAGCCAGCGACACCACAGAAGATAGGTCTGGAGCTCTGCTTCTGGAAAGATTACAGCCAAGAAAACCTTATAGAACAGTTGTACTCTATAACACATGGGGTCACCATGAGTTGGAATCCACTTGATGGCAATGGGTTTAGGGGTGTGGATAAGGAGTGGCTGAGTCCAGAAGTTCAGCGGTGTGATCTGGGGGAATTACAACCAAGCTGGGAGCAAGGGCTGTGTGGAGGATGGTGTGTGAAGCCCCCTGAGGTCATCTGATACCTGATGTCCTTTCCCTCCAGCTACATTTGGCTTTTTTAATATTCGCCTCATTTTTCTTGCAATGGGAATCCCTCTACTGGGTGGCCTGGATCAGTTACCTTCTCTCTCATATAACTCATCTGTCAAACAGGGGTGGGGCAGTGGGATTAGATTCAATGATCTCTGGCATTCTCAGAGATGGAAAAATAGGTTAGGCCAGAATCCTGGGCCTCCAAGGCATAGGTCCACAGATGTTGTCTCGTAGGAACTGGCCGATTCCTAATGCCACCCTACTCTGCTATTGATCCCTCAACCTTCCCATCAACCATGGTCCCTGGGAGAGAGATCTTCACACATGCCAAGCCAGTTAGAATGGCCAACCCTAGGCTTGTCCCTTCTTGTCTGCATGCTAATGTCTTTTAGGACTAGCCTCATTTTTTTCTCTGCCCAAGAATGGTTGTTTGATTAGGATCCCAGATTTTACTTATATATTCCCTACCACTACTGTGGAGCTCTGGTAGCATAGTGCCTAAGGCCCTTGACTGCTAACCAGGAGGCTGGCGGTTCAAACCCACCAGCCACTCCTCGGAAGGAAGGTTGGGCAATCTACTTCCGTAGTGATACTGCCTCGGAAACCCAAGGAGGGGTTGCTATGAGTCGGGTCCAACTGGATGGCACATAACAACAACAACAACAACCACTACTATGCCCCTCCCCCAAATATGTACATTCTTCCAAAAGGGTACATTTTCTCTGGGCTGATCCCCACTCAGTGCTGACTCAGAGGCCCAGAGAGCAGAGTCCTAAGGAAACATAAAGGGAAAGGAGGATAAGGGAAGAGGGGGAGATGGGGGAGTTATTTCTTGATGTGGAGGCAAATGTTGCCATTAGAGAGGATGTGAGGGCCTCTCATGCTCACCCCTCGTCTTTCTGAAGCCCAGAAAGGAGACCTGACTTGCTCAGAGTGGATCAGCTCACTCAGCTGATGAAAGCGTCAGAAGCTTCTGGCTTGGGGTCCTGCTCAACGCCCCACTGCCCCTCCCCTTCTGGAGTTTCCTTTCCTATGACTTTAGGATGGGAGTGAGAACAGGAGGGCAAGGAGCAAGCTGGTCCCTTGGGATTCTGGCTGTTACTACTGCCCATGCCTCCTCCTGACCAGCTCGTAAACAAGCCTAGTTCCCAGGCAGTCAGTGGCCTGGGGAGCCAGATCCCAACCAAGAACTGGCTCTGGAGCAGCTCCCCCAACCCCTTGAAGGCCCAGCCCACCTCCTTTCTTCTCTTTTTCTCCCTGGTCCTGCCCTCCAAACTCCTATCTCTAGTCCCTGGGAACCAGACAAGGTCAAGAGGTTTCAGCCTTTCTCCCTCTGTGTTCTCGCCCACTCCGGCTTTCCTAGGGGAGGAGAAGGGAGAAGAGAAAGATGGGGTAGAGTAACCTTGGAAAGATAAGGCCAGTTAACCTTGGGAAAGTAGGGAGTTATCCAGAGTGGAGGAAACTAGGGAACTTAGAGGCTTGGGGAGTGGGAGGGTAGAGTTTGCAGAGTCCTTGACTTTCAGGTGGGGTTCTAGTTAGGTAGACAAGTGGTGGGAGAGACCTGGACAGCTGCAGACAGCTGGTCTTCTTCCCTAACTCTGAATCCCAATGCAGGAAGACAAAATGTTCAAGGAAACTAATTAGGAATCAGTCATGAAATAACATGGGGACAGAAACCTGGGCTCAAGTAAGGACTTCTTAGATGGGTCATAGATGAATTCATTCATTCACTCATTCAAAACATGTATTAAATGATGTCGACTATACTATTACGTCAGTCATTCATAACATGAAAGCTTTCATAATAAAAATTGGGGAAAATATGAATTAAGCACTTAGAAATCTGCCAAAAGAGACAAAGGAAAATAAGATGGTGCCAACACTCATTGAACTTACAGTCTTACCTATGCCCCTGTACAACCATGTCGGCAGCTGAAGCAAACCCTTTTGTAATGAAGTGGAATGGGTGGATGGGTGGAGGGGGGTGGACTAGAGACAGAGATATCAGTCTATCTATCTAGTCTATGTGTGTCTATATATCTAGATAGATAGATAGATAGATACAAAAAGCAAAACCAAATCCGTTGCCAACTCATAGTAACCCTATAAGACAGAATAGAACTGCTTCACACAGTTTCCAAGGCTGTAATCTTTATGGAAACAGACTGCCACATCTTTCTATCTCAGCGTGTCTAGTGGATTCAAACCATTAACCTTTTGGTTATCAGCTGAGCACTTTAATCACTGCACAACCAGTCTCCTTCAGATACATACATATATAAAGACATATTCTCCATATATATGTATATATCTATGTGTATCCATATATATATGTATGTATTATCTATACATGTGTATATGTGTGTGTGTGTGTGTGTGTATGCATAGACACAGAGAGAGATCAATTGTCAACCTTTGAATGTCACTGGACTGTTGGGAACCAGCTTGGACTGCCTTATCCTTGGCCTGCCCTTGGCTGACTCCCCACTGTTCGTCTATCATTTTTGTAGGGTTAGGAATGGGTTGGGACTTCCCAGGTTAGGGTTGAAATCCAGCACTTGAAGAGACTCCTAAGTATAATAAAAGGAAGCTCTCCACAGAGGAGAGACCCTTGGCTATTGGAATACTTGAGCAGGGGTGATGACAGTGACCTGATAGGGTGTATGTGTGTGTTAATATTGTTGTTGTTGTTGTTATGTGCCATCGAGTCGGACCCCGCTCAGCGACCCCTCCTTGGGTTTCCGAGGCAGTATCACTACGGAAGTAGATTTCCCCATCTTCCTTCCGAGGAGTGGCTGGTGGGTTTGAACCGCCAGCCTTCTGGTTAGCAGTCAAGTGCCTTAGGCACTACTCTGTGTTAATATTAGGAGACTTTAAAGGATTGAGATTACATACCTTCCCAAGCCACTTCTTCAATTATCTCATGCTTTACTGTTGAGAAGGTCTACTTAAGACTCAAATCCCTCTTGTTACTGTTTAAGACTATTTCATCTCATTGTGGAGCTAGAACATGCCTGGGCAGCCGGTACCTGGGCAGCAAACGGGGACAGTGGGATGGATATGCACTAAGGCAAACTGGAAAAGTAAGCCACCTTGACCTTGGCCCCATCTAGTACCATTTTCCTGGACATTTTCTATCTCTTGTTCCCACCTCTCCCTACCCAGAATCCTCTTCTGCCCTCTGCAGAATTTATGGATGGTTTCAAACTACCCTTGGCTCCTGTGCTCACTCATTCCTAGAAGACAGGGATCTCAGGGAAGTGTTCAAATAAGGGAATCTGATTAAAGTGGTTCCACCCAGGTGTGAATACCTAGCAGGCTTAACCTTCAGGGCTCTGGTATGTGAACCAAATGGCATTGAAAGTCAGGAGCAAAGGGATTTGTGAGAGCATGTGAGCTTCCCATGAGGTCTTTACCAACCGGGCCAAACAGTATGTATCTCTTCCCCTAGCAGTGATGTCACCCCAGTGCCCAGGGCGTGGTTTGCTGCATCCTGCTCTGGAGCAGAAGGCTCAGTGTCACCTACTCTACAACGGGGCTTCAGAGACTCAGTCCCCAGCTTCTTCCTCTTACTTACTGTCCAGTTCAGGAAAACAGAGACTATCCACGTGGGAGGGCCAACCTCAGAGGTCCAAGCCCAGCCTTCCCGTTTTGTGGAAGGAGAGAGGGTTACCCATCATAGCATTCCGTGACTCCCCTTAGGTTTTGTTCTAGATTCTTCCTCCCGCCCTTTGCCTCTTTTTCTCTTTTAGCTGTGGAAGTCAGTTCTGAGTCTGGGGCTCTGGCCAAAAGCAACTAAGGAAGCCTTCCCAAAGCTCCCAGCAATGTGAGGCTTTCCACCTCCTTGGACTTGTTCCTGCCTTTCTAGCATCAATGAGATTCAGCTCGTTCTTGCCCAGCTCGCAATTCACTGAGACTGGAGCCTCTTCTGACCCTGCCTACGTTTTTGGTGTCTCTTTATGGCACATGCTTTCTTCTCTTTCACAGCCTTCTTGACCTTCCTTCTGCTAATGTCTTCCTTGTCTCTCTTTTGGGCTAGACATGTTGACTTTTAACCTCGTCCTCCCTAGTACTAGCTACCTTCACCTGGAGTCAGATTCCTATAAGGAATTGTCAATGAAGGTGTGCAGATTCAGTGTCCAGAAAGATAAGACTGAACTCTTGTTCTACAGAAATTTCCAGTCTAGAATCTAGTTAAGAGGTGATACAGACGTGGACTGGTAAGAGAGCCAGACAGGAAAATTTCAATCTCAGTTGAGAGGTGAGTGTATCAGCTCTTGGCTGCTCTTGACTGCCATCTCTGCCCACCCGGACAAACATCTCAGGGCTGTGGCTGGGAGACCTCTTAGACCCACCTCCCATGCCAGTGGCAGAGAAAAGATCAAAATCCAGGCCCTTATTCCAGCTACACCCCTGACTGTGTTCTCTGCCTCCCAGGGCCGTGGGCAGCCCGTTGGTTATGGATCCTATCAGCATCTGCCGGAAGGCTCGGCGACTGGCGGGGAGGCAGGCCGAGTTGTGCCAGGCAGAGCCGGAAGTGGTGGCCGAGCTGGCCCGTGGCGCCCGGCTCGGGGTGCGAGAGTGCCAGTTTCAATTCCGCTTCCGCCGCTGGAACTGCTCCAGCCACAGCAAGGCCTTCGGGCGCATCCTGCAACAGGGTCAGTGGGGAGCGGTCTCCCAGGAGGCTGCCTTCTGCCCACGGGGGGCTGACGACAGGGGGCGGTCTGGGGCACCCTGGCCCTCTCAGGCCTCTGCACCCTCCTCTGACCCTGTCTCCCTGGCCCCTCACCACCCTGCGCCATCCATCCTGCCCCGTCCACAGAAGGGCCCCACCACCCAGCCCTGGTCCTGCCCCGCTGACGCCCATCCCTGCACCCGCAGACATCCGGGAGACGGCCTTCGTGTTCGCTATCACCGCGGCTGGCGCCAGCCACGCGGTCACGCAGGCCTGCTCCATGGGTGAGCTACTGCAGTGTGGCTGCCAGGCGCCCCGCGGGCGCGCCCCGCCTCGGCCCCCCAGCCTGCTGGGCACCCCTGGGCCGCCGGGTCCTGCGGTCTCTCCCGACGGCAGCGCCGCCTGGGAGTGGGGAGGCTGCGGCGACGACGTGGACTTCGGGGATGAGAAGTCGAGGCTCTTTATGGACGCGCAGCACAAGCGGGGACGCGGAGACATCCGTGCGCTCGTGCAGCTGCACAACAACGAGGCGGGCCGGCTGGTGAGGGCAGGGGGACAGGGTGGAATGCGGTGCAGACAGCATTGTGCGGGCGGCTGGGTGCGAGCACGCGGGCGAGTGCGGAGTGTGGAAGAGTGGGTTTGAGAAGTGGGTGAGAAAGTGTGGGTATCCGAGTGTGGATGAGGTTCTGGGAGTATGTTGATGAGTGTGGGGAGGGAACATAAGTGAAGGGGACGCTGGGAAGACTTGCTGGCACGTTGGTGGTGCTCGTTTGGGAGGAGTGAGGTGGCTCTCTACAAGAGCTCTCTACAAGAGACAGTCACTTGGGAGTCCTGGAGCTGTGCTACAGTGGGCGGTGGGGGGGGGAGGGACACAGGACCTTTAGGGCCCCAGAGTGGGGAGGGCAGACCTCTGAGACAGCACAGGTGAGCAAGGCTGAGGGTGGGTAGAGCTCTGGGTGCCCTGTTGTTGCTGTTATGTGCCATTGAGTCGGACTCGACTCATAGTGACCCCTCCTTGGATCGCTGAGGCAGTATCATCACGGAAGTAAGATCGCCCAACCTTTCTTCCGAGGAGTGGCTGGTGGGTTTGAACTCAGAGAAAGGAGGCAAGACCAGGGATGAGAAGAAGGCTGGCAGGTGAAGCAGAGGATTGGGGGTTGGGAGGGGAGAAGTGAAGGGGTCTGAGAAAGGGACTAGAACAGGTGTGAGGGGGCAAAGCTCTTGGAAAGGAGTGGGGGACCATGAGTAGAGAGTAGACAGAGAGTAGACCTGGGGGAGGTAGGGAAGTAGGGAGGGTTGGGGGAGCCTGGGAAGCTGTGATGTGTTTGGCACTTGCCCCCTGGCTGCCCAGCAGCACCAGACCTGGCTTCTCCAGTCCAAAACCTGGCTGCCTCCCCTCCCCCAATGAGGAGGGCCCAAGAACTCTCGTTTCAGGGTGAGAAGCGCCTGGGCTAGGTGGTTGCAGGGTGGAGGGCCTGGGAGTGGGCAGAGGTATACACAAGTCTGTAGATCAGGTTGGCCTCTGGAGACAGCTTCCGGAGAGCATCTCTCTGGGTCATCTGACCCCATAAATCTCTAATGAGTGTGGCTTTTAGCCCCCCAGCTTCAGACACAAAAAAGAAAATAAGAAGCAGGACTCCTGGGTTCTCTTCTTAGTCGTGCGTTTGCAGGGGGCCCTCCTGCACCCTACGCCTCAGTGCTAGGATGCTCTAGGGGCACCCTCACACACATATCCTGTGTGCTCCAAGACTTGGGCCTGAGGCCGCGGGCAGGCAGGGAAAGGGGGCCAATGAGGAATGTCTGGGCAGGCCCGCACACCTATAGGAAAGGGTTGCGGGGGGGGGGGGGGGGGAGTGGCAGAGACAGACGTCCAGGCGGCTAGCTCTTCGGGCGGGAACAAGGGGGCTGGGCTGGCAGGAGGGCTGGGCCGCAACAGCTGCCCCCTCTGACTCCTCCAGGGAGAATCTCACCCCTGCCATCCTTTCTGCTTTCTTCCCAACGCCTGGCTTTGGGTCCTGGAATCTCTGCACCACGTACTGTCCCTGCAACTTCACCTTCACTCCTCCCTCGTCATCACTCTTTCTCCTTCTCTCTGGCCTGTCCTGCCCTGGATCTCCGCTTCCTCGTCATGCGCTCTTCTTTTTTGGTCCCCTCCTTTCTTTCTCCTGTCCACTTTCCTCTCTCCGTTCTTATCTTCTTCCCATCTTCTGCGCCTTTCGCCGCCCGGCGCCCTCCCATCTGTCCCCATCCGCCTCCTTCTCTGCTCCTCGTAGGCGGTGCGGAGCCACACACGCACCGAGTGCAAGTGCCACGGACTGTCCGGCTCTTGCGCGCTGCGCACCTGTTGGCAGAAGCTGCCACCGTTCCGCGAGGTGGGCGCGCGGCTGCTGGAGCGATTCCACGGCGCCTCACGCGTCATGGGCACCAACGACGGCAAGGCCCTGCTGCCAGCCGTGCGCACGCTCAAGCCTCCCGGCCGCGCCGACCTTCTCTACGCCGCCGACTCGCCAGACTTCTGCGCTCCCAACCGGCGCACCGGTTCGCCAGGCACGCGCGGCCGCGCCTGCAACAGCAGCGCCCTGGACCTCAGCGGCTGCGACCTGCTGTGCTGCGGCCGCGGGCACCGCCAGGAGAGCGTGCAGCTCGAGGAGAACTGCCTGTGCCGCTTCCACTGGTGCTGCGTCGTCCAGTGCCACCGCTGCCGCGTGCGCAAAGAGCTCAGCCTCTGTCTCTGACCCGCCGCGACGGCGCTCTCCGAATCGCGAGGACACAGCCCCTCGGTGCCTGAGAGACATCTGGGCTCCAGCAGAGGGCGCTACCGGTGCCTTGCCTTTCCTTGAGATTGTCCGTCATCTTCCAGGCCTCTGGAGACTGTGACCGGAGCTTGTGATGCGCACCACCCACCGAGGCTCAGGGCGCTGGAGGGACCTCTGAGAGGCGCTCTGGGGATTCCTGGGAGAGACTATCCAAGCCCTCCTCCCCTTCGCCCCCAAGTGTAAACCAAAGAGCCAACCCCTAGGCTTCTGGATGAGGGGCTCCTCAGAACTGCTGGGATGAAATGGGTGGATGAGGTTAGTATCAATAAAGATATTTAAGCCAATACAACCTGGCCCAGAGTTTGAGGGGAGAGCTGGGTCTCCTGTGGCCTCTGGAAGGAGTGTGTGAAAGGAGGTGGTTTTGGTAGCAGTAGCATCTCAGGGTCACCACCCTAGGTCCCCATCATTCTCCTGCCAGGTTGGGCTCTCCAGAACACACTTTCTCTCTCCTTTGGCCCTCTTCTTGTTCACTTCCAGGACTTAGGTCTGTGATCTAAGGAAGAACTAGCAATCCTTTAGGGGACAATGGAAGGGCCTGAAAAGGGACCAAAAGCCTCTGTCTCACACCAGCCTTCACCTTTCTGTCTAGAAGATGGCTTATCTGTCTTCTATCTGCTTCTATGTCCCCTAGGGAATCTGAGAGCAGACTTAAAAAAAAAAAAATCATAGATTTTCTTTTCTAGAGCAGTTTTTGGTTCAGAAATTGCATAGGAAAAACAGAGAGTTCCAGTATACCTGCACACACTTTCTCCTCTTCTTATCTTGTGTTGATGTGGTGGTTTGTACAATTAAGGAACCAATATTGATTCATTATTATTAATGAAAGTCCACAGTTTACAATAGAGTCCACTCTCTGTGTTGTTCAGTTCTATGGGCTTGGCCACCTGCATAACATCATCCAGAATCATGTCACTGCTCTGAGAGTTCCCTGGGCTCTACTTACTCATCTCTTCTCCCTCTTCCTTGAACCCCTGGCAGCCACTATCTTTCTACTGCCTCTGAAGCTTTGTCAAGGGCAGATTTTAGAGCCACCCAAGCCCAGAGGATGAAAGCAAAGCGCTTTATAGACTGTAGAATGTGATAAAAATATGTTATCACCAACACCAGATTTTGTTACAGTTAAAACTAACTTCACCTCAGTTAACAATGCAGACTATCCAGAAGACCATTTCTAATCATACTTGGGCAGCGAGATTGTCCTAAGATTTCTCTTGGCACCCACTCCCATTTCCTTCTCTCTGGTTCCTCTTGGGAAACTGATGTGAGGGTGAGGGACAGATGGGCAGATTTCAGGGGGCTGAAGCTTCATGTCTCCATCTTCCTCTGGAGATAAAGGGGAGGGCTTGGTCCAATGGTTGGTGTTCTGGTTCCCTAGTGCCGCTCTGACAAGATATATACCACAAATGGGATGGCCTTAACAAAACAGGAGTTTATTCTTACAGTTTGAAGCCTTTAAGTCCAAGTTCAAAGTGCCAGGCTCTAGGGGTTGAGTGAAAGCCCCTCAACCTTGGGGTCCAGCTCTGCTTCCTGCTCCCGGCCCACTGGAGCTAAAGGCATTTCTTCACTCAGACAGCTGCTGGCTGCTGAGGCTGAGAAGCCCCAAGGTTGACAAGTAAAAAGGCACAGTCCTGATGTCACCAAACCACACGGCAGGCCATTGACTTAAGTCCACTGTAAGTCCCAAGGTCGGCAGAGCATAGCAGGCTGCTGAGCAATGACATGGCTACATGCAGGGTCCGAGCATGCCATATGCTAGAGATCATTCCCAAGGCTTCTCCTAATATACAGGAAACAGACCACATACCCAAAGGCAGCTACCCAGCTGCTTGTGGTAGATCCCACCATGGAGTTGATTGCCAGTCTCCTCATGGGGATTAACTACTACCAGCTGCCCAGCCACTGAACTAGGCCCAGTCAAGTTGATATACAAACCGAACTACTGCAGTTGGGATTCAGAACCCCCAATTTTCTTTCCTAGAGTGGGGAAAGACTCCCCCATCAAAGTATGTAATGGCATACTTTGTAAGGGCAAAGCATGAGCTCTAGATCCAGGCACCCTGGGCTTGAAGCTGCTGCTACTTAGAAATTTACAACATGCCAAGTTAGCCTCAGTTTCTTTACCTATATGATGGGGCTATCACCTATTTTAGTTGCTGTATAATAAACAACCTCAAAGTAGTTTAAAACAGCAATGATTATTTTTCATGATCCTGTAGGTCAAGAATTTGTTAGAACTCAGGTGAGTGTTACTGCTGTCTGTGGCATTGGCTGAGGCCAGTCACTTGGCTGCATTCCGCTGATGGCTGGGCTGGCTTTGCTCTCATGTCCAGTACCCCAAAGTTCCTCTGGTGGCCTCCTTCTCTCCATGTGGCTAGCCTGGCTTCCTCATGGTGTGGTGGCCTCAAGGGTGTCAGACTTCTTAATAGGCTGATTTTCAAGAAGGGTGTGCCAAACTTGAAGGCAGAAGCTGCATGTCTTGTCCATAAGGTCTAGCCTTGGAATTCACTTAGCACCACCATCAGATTCTACTGGTTGAAAGAAGTCACAGATCCAACCAAAATTCAAAGGGAGAGAAGATAGACTCCATCTCTCCATAGAAGGAGGACCAAAGATCTTGCAGCCATCATAACCCATCCCACACCTTCATAGAATTGCTCTGAGGATTTTTTTTTTAAAGATATGAAGAGCACTTAGCACAGCATTTGACACATAGTAATTTATGTGTCAGATTTTTGTTTAATAAGAGATACTGTGAGAATGAGGATGGAGAGCTGATGCTTGCGGGGTACTGGGCGGGGCTTGATTGCAAATGAAGATATCCCACAGCAACCAGTTTAGGCTGAAAGCAGATTACAGAATCTTATACCACAGAAAGGAACTCTAGTGGTGCTGCTGTTGAACCATTGGGTTGCTAACCAAAAGGTTAACAGTACGAACCCACCAGCTGCTCCATGGGAGAAGGATGAGGCAGTCTGTTTTTTGTAAAGATTTACAGCCTTGGAAACCCTGTGGAGCAGTTATACTCTGTCTTACAGGTCTCTATGAGTTAGAATCAACTCCATGGCAGTGGGGTAAACCAGGGAAGTCCAGGCATAAGTCTGAACTCAGGCATAGGTGAACGCAGGGGCTCTATTGCTGTCATAGCGAGTGCTCTCTCTCTCTCTCTCTCTCTCCCTAACCCCATACCTATTGTTTCTGCTTATCTCTGCCCCTCTTTGCATGCTGTCCTCATTCTCTCCTGCTGCAGACTTTTCCCATACGGCAGCCTTATACTTCCATTCTTAAAACCAGCAACCCGAAAGGAAGAATGGCCATTCCAGTTATCTCCAGCACAAGTCCCAAGGAAGGCTCTGGTCTAGCTTGGCCACTTGCTTATGCTTGGAATAACAATGGTGTCCACGGAGATGCACAACCATGACTGGGATCAGCAGCCCCCACTCCTCAGGACCTCCTGGAGCGGGGCCACAGGGAGGAGGGCAAGGTCTTCAAATGAAACAGAAGGGGACCCATCCTGTGTGGCAGGCTCTGACTATGGCTTCCAGAGCTCACTACAGTACATCTACCTTTGTGACCTAGCCATGTTGGGGTCCCATAGTGAGGCATGTGTGAGGAGGGGGGTCAGGCTACAGTGGGAAGGTAGAGGAATCTGGGGCACCCTTCCTACCAAGTGCCAGAGCTCAGACCAAATGCAGGAGCTGTAGGAAACTCATAGAATTTGGGGTCAGAGTTTCTGTAGCCCAAAGGGGCCATGTTGGATTACCAAGAGGGAGAGTGAAACTGGCATCGCAGGCCACATGTAGGAGAAATTAAGCTCCCTGAGGGCAAGATTTGTACCTACGGCCCTGCCTTCTCCACAACTCTGTCCACCACCACCACCACCACCACCACCACCATTGCCTTCACGTGGATTCCGACTCAGTGTAGAACTGCCCTATAGGGTTTTTGAGGCTGTGGTCTTTATGGAAGATTGCCACTTCCTTTTCCCACAGAGAAGCTGGTGGGCTCGAATCACTCACCCTTCTGTTCGCAGCTGAGCACTTTAATCAGCGCGCCACCAAGTCTCCTTTCAGAACTATGCCCTGGGTGACAATACTTTTCATTATCATCGCCCGCGTGTCTCCCATTGACCACCAGGGGGCGTGCACAGCCCATCTTGACTATTAACAGGAAGCAGCGGAACCTGCCGGACATCTGGGGAACTCTGAGAACGGCCGGCGGGAGAGGGCAGGACCGAGGGAAGCCGGGAGGCCTGTGGACAGCTTGGGTCAGGCTTTTAGCGTTCCCGACTGAGACGTCGGCGCTGGCCCAGGCCTAGGATTGGAATACCTGCCTCCCAGCCGCTAAGTGTCAGGTTCTGTGTGTGTGCACGCGCGTTGGGGCCTCTCGCGCTGGACTCCCTCCTCTACCATGCCAGAAAGGGAAACTGAGGCGGTGGCATGTACCAACACCAACCTCACAAGGAACTCAGAGGAAGGGCATGGTACAGTGAAAAGAGGCCTGATTTGCTTGAACTTGATCACTTAATCTCTTTGAGCCTCAGTTTCCCTATTATGAAACGTGGGTGCCTGGTAGCCTGGTAGCCTCTTAGTATATGTGTAGAGAATTTGTGAACAGCCAGTCCCATGTTAGTTGTCCATCTTCAATGGCAGAGCCCACGGGGCGGGGAGACTGCCTTCTGTGAAGGGTGACAGGCAAACGTGTCGGCCCAGGAGGCACCAATATGTTGACCACTGGCCTGGTCCTGTTTAAGCTCAGAGGTGGTGCTACACTCTTGCCCTGAGGCCTGGGGGCCTGGGAAGGGGGCTGGAAGAGGAGTTCAGAAGTGTCTCCATCTCCACCCCCCTCTTTGCTCACCCAGCTGCTCAGCCCCTGGGCAGTCTGAGCCATCAAGGTCCCCCCACTGGCAGTAGTGGGGGACATGTGGGACTGGGGAGATGGGGACACAGAGGTGCCCCAGATGTGTGCATGACCACATCAGGAACAGCTGGAACGCAGGCAGATGGGTGGGGAGGCCAGGCTGAGGGCTCAGGAACCTTTCCTCTTGTCTTCAGTGGTCGAACATATCAGGAGTTTGGGGAGACTGAAGTAGTAGGCTAGTCTCCTTACCTTGCTGAGGGGCAGTAGTCCCTAAAGCCTGGGCAACAGGACGAAGACCCAACCCCTCCAAAAATATGTGCTGGGTGGGGGCCCTTCATTCTATTCTTTATCAGGACAAACTTCTCCAGGTGAGTGTCAGGGTCGAGGCTGGGCTGGGCTGGGCTGGGAGGGTCCCACCTGTTCTCACCCTGGTGCCTTCCCCAGCCATCCCCTCCTGTAACCTCCCCCAGAGCCTCCACAGCTGGAACCATTCTCTGAGCTGCCTTTCATCCCTGGTGCTCTCTCCCACCCCTAGTGGCCCCTGTAATTGTGGTCTCAGGCAGCGGCTGCGGGGGCTGGGGCTGGGCTGAGGGCCAGGGCCCAGGGCAGGGCCAGGGTGGGGCCTGGAGGCAGCTGATAGGGGCTTGGCCATGGCATGGGTCATGTGGGGCTGGGGGTCCCAGCTACAGACACTCTCTGGACCTCATCTACTCCCATGCCAAGTCCCGGTGCCTACACACTCTCTCCTCCCTGGACTGAGGAGAAATTTCCAGACTGGGACACTGGAGACATCAGGCCAGGACTGTGCCAGAGCACAAGCCTTGGGGAGCCACGTGCCCTCTAGAGTTTTCAAAGGAAGCCTCTTCCTCGCTCCTTGGCACCTCTGTAGTTCACCAACAGTGGAGGGTAGAGAGCCAAGAGACACTTCATCGTCAGAGGCAGTGCAAAGGGAAAACGCAACCTGCTCAAGCAGGAGCGCCGCCCCGACATCACTGGGAATACTGGTTAGAAATGCCGGTCCCCAGGTCTTGGCCCTGGAAAGGCTGACCCAGAGGTGCGGGGCCTGCTGCGTCCCCACAATGCTCTGCCCAGGAGCTCTGTGCTGCACCAAGCATGGGATATGCTGGTGTCAGGCTATGGGCCTGTTTCTGTGTTACGCTGAGTCGTTGAGTCTCAGTTTCCCCAACAGCCAGTGGGAACATAACTCTCCAGCCTGGCTTGTCCCTGCTGGTGCCTTCTTCTGCCCTGGGCTCATGCCTCCTTTGTTGAGCGTCATCCAGCCCTGTCCCCCCACCTGGCCCATCCCTAAGACTCTAGTCCCAAGCGGTCCCTGCTTCTGCACTATGGTGGAAGAGAGTTAGGGGGCAGGAGGGCGGCGGGGTCAGACAAGGTTCTGGCTGACGCAGACTGCTTCCTGCCCCCGGCTGTTTTCCTGCTGTCCAGCCAGACTACTCCCCTCACTGTCCCCCCCACACCCCCAGCAGCCTCAAGCCCTTAATTCCTGACAGCTGCGGAGGCTGCTGGCAGAGATGGGGGAAGGGAGGGGGAGGACTCTGTCAGCCTGCCCATAGCTCAGGCCACCCCACCACCACCTGACAGTAGGGGGCCCTCCCCTCCAGTCCCTCAGGGAAGGGCAATTCCAGGAATGGGCCCCTTTTGTCTCTGAGCTCAGAGGTTTGGGTAGTTCTTTCTCCAAGTCAGGAGGGGCTCTCTGCAGAAAGAAGGGGCAGTGGGGCTGAGTGTGTGTCTGTGTCTGTGAGTGGTGGTCTTGTGCCCATTTTACAGAGAGGGATGCTGAGGCCACAGCAGGGTCAGGATTCACTCTCAGGGCCCATGTTAGAACCAGAAAGAAGTGAGAACCTCTCTCCACCAGCCTTCTGGCCGTCACACTCTGCACACTTATCCGGGTTGAGCTGGGGGGGGGGGACAGGAAGGGATCCTAGGGAGGAGTGGGTCTGGGTTTTGGGGGAGCATACAGGGAACCATGTGCAGGTGGGGGCAGGGCAGGGACCCAGAGCATCCAGGGCTTGGGCAAACAGTACTCAGCTTTGGGGCTGCTGCCCCTGTTTGCTGCTGGGCTGGGAGTTGGGACCTGGTTTGGGTCCATCCATGAACTTGGTGTGTGACCTTGAGTAAATCATGACCCTCTCTGAGTCTCAATATTTTCTTGGGAAATAAAAGAGGCCTTAATGACATTAACTGGAAGCCCTCTCCCAGGACTAAACGGGCTCTCCAACACTTCTCCCCTCTGCTGCACCACTGCCTGGGTGCTCTCTTCCCAACAGGCATTTATTTACTGGACCTCGGTCGGGTTCTCCCCAGGCTCCTGGGACTAGGTGAGGGGGCCTCATTCACTTCATTTCGAAGGGAGTAGACCTAGCTCCGCAAACCAAGCGGGAGCCACCTGCTGAAGGTCACACAGGAAAGAGGTCACACAGGGGCTGCCGGGCTCCTTCCTAGAACCTCACACCTGCCTCCTGAGAAGGTGCTGGGAAGTCCCTCCTGAGACGAAGGAAGCACAGCAGAGGAGCAGAGGCCAGTCCCCTCGGCCCCTGCAGGTGTATATACTGGGGGGGGGGGCACCCTGACAACTGCGTCTCAGCCAGGTACACAACACTGCGCAGTGACACACACTTCCCATCTGCACAACGCCATGCAGACGCCCACGAACCCCAATACCTCTCCGCTCCTCCCCCCCGCCCCCGTCCCCGGTCCTCTCCTCGGCCGCTCGCACCCCCAGTCCTGAGCGGACGCAGTGGCCTCGGGACACGTACACTCCTCCACCCCTCGCCGTGACGTCACGTGGGGTAGAGCCTGAGACTCTAAGTTGGGGGGGGCGGCGGCAGAGCTCCTCGGGCCGGGACAGTCACTCAGTCTCCGGGCCCGTGGGGCAGGGTACAGACCGCGCAGCCCCCGCCCCCTCACCCAAGCCCGCGGTGCTCGCCCTCCGAAGCCGAGGCTGGCGCCGCTGTGCTGAGTCCAGGGCCAGGCCGCCTGGCGTCCCCAGCCCACTGCACCTCCGGGCCCCCCTCACCCTCGAGAGGCACCGGGAGTTGTCGCAGGGGGGCCTCGGGAAATCCCCCGGACCCCTGTGCCAGGAGGTGCCCAGTGTGCCCGCCCGCTTCCCCCTCCCCCGAGGGCGGTGCCCGGGGGAGCTGCGCTATGGAGCGGGGAAGCGGGCTCCGTCTGCTCCCAGAGCCGTGACCCAAGTCGAAGCTGGGTGTCGCAGCCGCCCCGACCACGGCCGATCATGCGCCGCCGTCCCGGGCTCGCCCGCCCCGCCGGGCTTTGAGCCCCCCACGCCCTGGCCCGGCCCGGCCCGCGCGCCATGGGCAGCGCCCACCCTCGGCCCTGGCTGCGGCTCCGACCCTGGCCCCAGCCGCGGCCCGCACTCTGCGCGCTTCTGTTCCTCCTGCTGCTGGCTGCCACGGTGCCCAGGTGAGCCCTCGCCTCATGCCCCGCCCTCCCGGGGAGCTGGGACCCCGAGGAGGCAGGGGCCTCCGGAGCTCCAGTTGGGGCAAGGAGCCCTGGGAGGAGGGAAGGTCGGGGTGGCAGGGAAGTGCTGGTGCTGGAAGGAAGGAGAGGAAGGAAGGAGAGACAGTCCTCTCATAGGAGGGAGTGGGGCTGGTGACAGAGAACGGGGCTGTCCAGGTGGCGGGGCAATGTCTAGCAGAGTAATGGCAGCTAGGAGTGGAGGGGTGTGGTGGGAGCAAGCGCCAGCCCAGAGTCCCTGCCATGCTGGGGGAGTGCACCCTCAGGTCCAGGAGGAGGCTTCAACGCCTCCCCAAGGAGTGCGGGAGGGAGCTCAGGAGAGCAGCCCAGGTAGGGTCACTGAGAGACTGCAGTGTGAACAGAGGGCCCTAGTGCTCGCTCACTCGCTTGCTTGCTCACTCACTCACTCACTCACACTGTGTGTGTGTGTGTGTGTGTGTGTGTGAGATGGAGAGAGCCTGTGCTGTTAGGCAGCCGTCTGTGTGAATGAGGGTGGGTGGGGGGTCAAGGGAGGTTAATACGGGCCTGTATGTGTGTGTGTGTGTGTGTGTGTAGAAGTGAGTGTCTTCATTGCGTATGTGTGTCTGTAATTATGCCTGATGAAATGTACATGTAAGTATTCCTGGGTTTGTGTGTCCATCACAGTGTATATCATGCAGAAGTATATCTTTGTGAATGTAATTGTCTGAAAACATGCCTTTGGGAGTGGGCTCCTGGGGTATGCTGTGTACAACAGCATCTGGGCCTGGGGAGGCTCTTAGGAAAAGCTGTGTGCACTGGGATGTGTGTGCATTTGCACATTTATCTGTGGGTGGGTGTGCCTGAGCAGGTTGTGTTGGAGGGGGTGATGGTGAGAAAGTCAAGGAAAGGAGACACTCTCAAGGTGTGCTGACCAGCCTTCAGAAGCAGAGGCTGGAACAGTGGGGTTACGGGCCTGTTGGGCAGTGTCCGTCCGTGTTGTTGGATGGGGCCAGGTAACTCTGCCTGCCACCGCTCCCTCTTGGCCCTTCTGCCCCCACTCACCACCCACCTCTACAGGTCGGCACCCAATGACATCCTGGGCCTCCGCCTGCCGCCGGAGCCGGTGCTCAATGCCAACACCGTGTGCCTGACGTTGCCAGGCCTGAGCAAGCGGCAGATGGAGGTGTGTGTGCGCCATCCCGACGTGGCCGCCTCAGCCATCCAGGGGATCCAGATTGCCATCCACGAGTGCCAGCACCAGTTCCGGGACCAGCGCTGGAACTGCTCTAGCCTGGAGACCCGCAACAAGATCCCCTATGAGAGCCCCATCTTCAGCAGAGGTAACCGCCCCTCACACTGCCCTTCTGCCCACTGGTCCAGCAGCCCCCTTCAGACTTGTCTGTCAGTCATCCCCCAACCCACTCTCTCAAGCTGGCAGCCTCCCATCTGCCCATCCACCGACTATTTCACCTTTCTGCCTCGTTCTGGTTTTGGAAAGGCCATGGGAGCCAGGCATATGGGCCCAGCCATGGCTCTGGGGTGGACTGTGTGGGCTGAGGGTCGCAGGTTTCATGGCTGTGAGCGTAGGACTCCTGGGTTCTCCTGCCCCCTCCCTGACACCTCATATCCAAAGCCTGGGAAATATTCATGTCTGTCACCTGCCTCAGTTTACCTTACATTTAGTAACTAGCATTCAGGACAGAGAGCCTGTGATAAAGCACCTGGAATCATTGTAGAGAGGGGAGGGAGGCTGGAAATTTTCTGCCAGATGGTGCGGGTGGGGGAAGCCTGGGCAGGTAAAATATTTGTGCTTCTGCAGAAGCTCTTCCCAGCAGGTACCCCACCAGCTCTGTGTCATCCTCACCACCCCGAGAAGCCGCTCTGATTCAGAGGCATTGGGTGTGTGCGTGCCTGTGTGCGGAGCCTCCTGCCCTGCAGGCCTGACAGCCCTGCACACAGGATGGTTTATTCCCTCACAGTTCAGAGGAGCCCTAGCCCACTCCCTGTCCCCCCACCCAAACAGCTGACTTCTGGGTGACACAGGGC